TCTTTCCCTCTCTCTCTCTTAGTCTCTCTCTGGTGAGTGCAGGTGCCCTACAGCAAATTAAAAAAGAAAAAGTAATAAATATAATTAAATAAATACTTCTTAAAAAGAAAGAAAGAAGACTGACTGCTAAGACGCGCTGCTTTGGGAACAGCCCTTCCCCTAGAGTAAGGGAGGAAGGGGCCGGATCCCAGATGGCGACTGTGGCTCGAATCTGGGCCTAGAGGTTTGAAAGTCAGTGCTGGATGCCTATGTGAGTGTGCCCGAGGGCCCTACAGGATGAAGTGGGGGAGAAGGCACCCCTCGGCGGGCCTTTCTCCCTGTCCCCTCTCTCTGTCTCTGGCAAGTGCACGTGCCCTCTGGACAAGAGAGAAAGTGTTGCTTTCGTCACCGTCTGAAGGGGTCTGGAAGGTGACCAGGAGGACAGGGAAGGGGAGGGCTCTTCAGGAAGTAGTGTCCTGTCCAAGGCCCTGGAGTGGCGAGGGGGGCCGGGGGGGGGGGGGGGGGGGGGCCCGCCACAGTGGCAGCGGGGACCGAGTGGGGTCTTGCTAGGTGGAGTAGGGTCTGAGCACAGCAGGCTGCTGCGAGGGGAGGGGGCCTGGCTGTTTACTTCCACTCACCCCCTTGCCTGCCGAGTAGAGAGTGCATTAGCAAGGGGGACAGCCGACGCAAAGGGGCCGTGTTCTGGCCCTGTCCCCACCCTGGGGGCCCAAGCAGGCAGAGGTGGAGAAGGCAAAAGGCAGCAGCTTGGTCAGCGTGGTTCGCGGACCAGCCGCACGGCACCCGGGAGTTTATTAGACATGCGGATTCTCGGGGAGCCCGGTTAGGGAACCAGAAACCCGGTGGCAGGACCTGCCAGTCTTTTTTGCCAGATCCTCTAGAGATTCTGGCTTAGAGGCTAGGGGCGGCAAGACTCTCGAGCTGGCCTGCTTGGGTTGCTTTCTCACCCTGCTCTCCCCCGTGACTTGGGGAGAGTTCCATGACCGTGCCAGCTTCCTCTTCTGAGAAAACGGGAGTGGCGGCCACTTCCCAGACGTGGCAGAGCTGCTCCTTTTAAAGGTATTTGCCATAGAGTGTGTGCGGTTGCCTGATAGCCAGAGAGAGGAAAAGTGAGACTGCCGGGGGGTGGCCACTCTGCCTTCCCTTCTCCTCCATTCTCCTCTTGGGATTTTGGGCACGTACACACACATGCCTGGTGGGATTTCCAAGCTGCTGTGTGGGACTCAGACTTCGTGGGTCATGTGGGGTCCAGCGCCTTAGCCGCCATGCCACCAGCTGCCCTGTAAACAGACGGGAGGGCCGAGCGTTCTGAGCAGAGGCGGGCCAGAGATGCCAGCTTTTCGGGAGGGGACTGTCTCTGTCAGAGAAAGGGCAGGGAGGGGGTGGGAGCTGGGAGTGGAGGCTGATGCGAGGCCCAGGCAGGGGGCGGCCGTGGGTGTCCTTGAGGAGCAGAGTGCCCCCGATCGTCATCTGTCCAGCATCTGTCCGAGGTCAGCTGAGAAGTAAGGGAGCCTCCAGGCTGCAGGGGAAGGTGGATGCCGAGGACCGCGCAGGGGCAGTGTGCTCCCGCTCCCCTGCCCTCCATTCCCCGCGCTGTCTGGCCCCTGCTGTCCTCCCCGTCAGGCCCCGTGCCCTCTGACTCTGCTCTCCCTTCCCCACAGCGGGTGCGGATGGGCCCCTCTTCCTCTCCTGTCCCCTCCCCGTCGCCCAGCCCCACTGACCCCAAGCGCTGCTTCTTTGGGGCCAGCCCCGGACGCCTGCACATCTCAGACTTCAGCTTCCTCATGGTTCTGGGAAAAGGCAGTTTTGGGAAGGTTGGACTCCTGGGGTCCTGGGGGGACGGTGTCTGTGGGGAGGTCACGTTCTAGGTCCCAGGGAAGAGGTGGGGTGGGGACGGCCAGTCCGTGCTACGTTGGGGTGGGCGCTCAGTTCCTGGACTGGACGGGAGAAGGTGACATGTGGACGCCCGATGCTAGGCAGGGCGCCCAGGCCCGGAGTGGGGAGCACGGGACCTGCTGGCTCGCATCGCTGGCAGGAGGCCGGGCCCTTCCGTGCTGGTTCCCGACGGCCCTCTGCCCGTCTAGGTGATGCTGGCCGAGCGCAGGGGCTCCGACGAGCTCTACGCCATCAAGATCCTGAAAAAGGACGTCATCGTCCAAGATGACGACGTGGACTGCACGCTGGTGGAGAAGCGCGTGCTGGCGCTCGGCGGCCGCGGGCCTGGCGGCCGGCCCCACTTCCTCACCCAGCTCCACTCCACCTTCCAGACCCCGGTGAGGGGGCTGCCTCATCTCCGCAGTGAGACTGGGGTTTAGCGCCTGGCAGAAGCTTCGCGGGTGCTGGGGGCGTGGCCAGCGTGCAGGCGCTCTGGAGGGGCGTGGCCAGGAAGCCCGCGTCCCAGAGGTCCTGCGTGTAGCCAGTGCTCTGGACTGGAGGGCCAAGGCGCTGGGGCAGGGAGTGCCTGAGTGAGCCTGGGCCTCCAGGGAATGAGGGCTTCCCTTTGGATCCTGACCCAGGGCACCTCGGAAAGGGGGCGTCTCTCTCTCTCTCTTTTTTGGAGAGGTTTTTGCTATAGGGCACGTGTGCTTGCCAGAAAGAGAGAGAGACAGAAAGCGAGAAATCACCCCCCAGGGGGGATGACCACGCCGCAAGCCCTTCTCCATTCTCCTCTCAGGATCTTGGGCACGCACGCACACGCACCCCGCGTGAGTTTAAGCCACCGGGTCCAGGACTGGAACCATGGTTGACTACATGGGAGTCCAGTGACAGAGCCATTAGGCTCTGCTGGTCCCATGGGGGCGTTTCTCTTAAGACTGCAGCCTGGGGCAGAGACAGGTCCTCAGGGTCTCCACGGGACTACCTTAACTGCTAGGGACTCTCAATGGCATGACTGGCTTCCGGGACTTAAAAACGCATGTGTAGGCTGGCAGGAGGTGTGGAGGTTAAGGTGCTAGGCCCTAATTGGCCAGCCCGAAAGTCACAGTGGGTGCGTGCGTGCCCAAAATCCCGAGAGGAGAATGGAGGAGAAGGGATTGCAGCATGGCCATCCCCCCGGGGGGTGATTTCTCACTTTCCCTCCCTCTCTGGCTCTTTCTCCAGTGAGCGCACACACCCTATGGCAAATCTTAATATTAAATTAATAAATAAATTTCAGGCGAGGTCTGAACGTCGGTCCCCAGCAGGTGGCTGGAACTGCGTGTGTGTGAGTGCAAGCGTGTGCGAGTGTGGGAGCATCACGTGAGCACGCGTGAGAGGGCTTGGCTTCTGCAGGTTTCGGGAGCCGTGTGGGCCCTGGTCATTGCACCTGCTCATTGGGGGCCAGGAGGTAGAGGCTCCTAGTGGAGGGTTAGGGCAGTGGGGCTCTCGCAGAGGGAGGGCCGTTGCTGGGTCTCTGGTTGGGTAGACCCTAACCCCCTCACCCGTCCTGAGTGGGGCGCGTGCCTGCCGTCAGCCCCCGCCTCTCCGCAGGACCGCCTGTACTTCGTGATGGAGTACGTCACCGGGGGGGACCTGATGTACCACATTCAGCAGCTGGGCAAGTTCAAGGAGCCCCACGCAGCGTGAGTCTCGGCCAGCCCAGAGGGCGGAGGGCGGAGGGGCCAGCCGCTGACCTCACTCCTGCCCTGCAGGTTCTACGCTGCTGAAATCGCCATCGGCCTCTTCTTCCTGCACAACCAGGGGATCATCTACAGGTGAGCGGCCCAGGCCCTCCTGGGAGCTGGGCCGGAGGGAGGGAGTGGGACACAGCTCCAGCTTGCCCGTCACGCAGGGACCTGAAGCTGGACAACGTGATGCTGGACGCCGAGGGGCACATCAAGATCACCGACTTCGGCATGTGCAAGGAGAACGTCTTCCCCGGGACGACGACCCGCACCTTCTGCGGGACCCCCGACTACATAGCCCCCGAGGTAACCCTGGCTCCGCTGCCCTGGGTGCCCTCCAGCATCGCCGGGTAGGGCTGGGTGGGTGCCTCGTCTTCCCAGTGGGGGAGGCCGCCCCCGGGCTGTGACGCGAGTCAAGGGCATTGTAATCAGAGACCCCTGCCCCCATGTCCAGCAAGGTGCCCTACCGTGCTGTGCTTCCGTGTGGGCAGAGCTGGGTCTGAGTGGGTTCTCAGGGTGGGACCTGTGGGCGAGTGTTCTGAGAGAGAGAGAGAGAGAGAGAGAGTGAGCCAGCTCACAGGGGTTCCGAGTGAGCAGGGTCTGTTCGGGGCCACTCTGAGAAGGTGGGGCTATTTCTAGACACTGAGCAGGCCGGGCCCTCCCTGACAACACGGAGCGTGTGAGGCTGGGTACTCTGGCTGGGCGAAAGCTCACACAAGCCGTGTTGGACTCGGCTCCCCGACCCCGGGTTGGGGAAGCCTGCGATTTTAGGGGCAGGTGTAGCTCTCGCCCCGTAAGGGCCTGGAGCCGGCTGCGTGTGCGTGGCAGTGGCGGCGCTGGTCTCCTACAGGGGAGGAGGCTGTGCTGGCGGTGCCGTCCCTCGGGCTTCTCAGGTGATGGCTGCCAGTGCCCCGGTAATCGTGTCTGGGGCCACGGAACCTGACCGGAGGGCTGACTCACCTGCAGAAAAGCTGAGGCCCACACACGTATTTCGACCTCTGACTCGAGCCTACTGGGGCTGGAGTTCTTCAGAGATGTGCATTTTAAAAAATTCATTTATTTATCTATTTATTTATTTTAATTTGACCAGAGAGGGAAAGACAGAGAGAGAGAGAGAGAGAGAGAAAGCAAGCCTCCAGGTCCGGGACTTGAACCACGGTCGGTCATGTGGGAGTCCAGTGCCGGCCCCAGAGGCCTGCATTGTTTCATACAGCTCCTGAGGTGAGTCTGACATATATCCAGGTTTAAGAATCTCTGGTCTCTCTTGAGACCAGCAAACGGTGTAATGGTCACATCCCCAGAATCCCATGTAGTCGAGTCCCAGACCTGGTGGCTTAAAACATGCCAGGTGTGTGTGTGTGCGTGCCCAAAATCCCGAGAGGAGAATGGAGGAGAAGAGACTGTGGCATGGCCATTCCCCCTGGGTGGTGATTCCTTGCTTTCTGTCTCTCTGTCTCTCCAGCGAGCACACATGCCCTATAGTAAAAATCTCTCAAGAAAAATCTCTGGTCTCTGAAATTTAGCCCCTATTCCTGACTTTTGAAGAGGACGGTCCAGTTCCCCAAAATTCTATGTAGGTAGAACCTCTGACTTGGCCTAGGGTAGCAGTAATATTTTAGAACAAAAGGATGCTCTCGGTGGGTAAGCTCTGTCTCCCGAATTTCCTAAGGGCGGAGCTCTGGCCGTATTTGGAGTGGTTAGGGGCGGTGCTGAAAGTACGTGCAGTGGGCGGAGCTCCCAGGGACCAGGCCAGAGGGTTCTCGACTTCTTAGTTGAAAGCCAGGATTCCTGTGCTCCACCTGCAGATCATCGCCTACCAGCCCTATGGGAAGTCTGTCGACTGGTGGTCCTTTGGGGTCCTGCTGTATGAGATGTTGGCGGGACAGGTAAGGGGTGATGGGGAGGAGGCGGCTGGGCTAACGCTACACGTAGCGGGCACTCCCGGTTAAAGGGCCTGCATCTCTGGGCACAGGGCGGGGCCAGACCTGCAGTCCCAGTGGGGCGGGCCAGAGGGAGGCAAGGCGGTGGCGCTGTCCGTGGTCCTGAAGCACGATGACCGTGCAAGCCAAGAGCTCTCACACGGGGACGGGGTGGCGGTGGGGGGCGCCATGAAGTCCGTGCCCCTACATGCTAAAGTAGGGTCTAGTCAAGCTTGTGGACCCCTTCTCAGACCACTGCTTGTAAGTGGACAGAGACAAATAATAGGATCACAAAAGAAATCAGTCATTATGAAATATAGTTATTGAAATTTTTTTGGGGGGGGAGAGGTTTTCACTATAGGGCGCGTGCGCTCGCCAGACAGAGAGAGACAGAGACAGAAAACAAGAAATCATCCCCCCAGGGGGGATGGTCACGCCGCAATCCCTTCTCCTCCATTCTCCTCTTGGGATCTTGCGCACGCACGCACACGTGCCTGGTGTGAGTTTTGAGCCACCAGGTCTGGGACGCGATCCGCGGTTGACTACGTGGGAGTCCAGCAACATAGTCATTACGCTAACTGCTGGTTCCTGAAATTTTTATTTTTCAAAAAATGTGTATTTCTCCCTAGTGAGAGGCACAGAGAATGAGAATGAGAGAGAGAGAAGGAGAGGGCCCCCGACAGGGTCCTGATGCAGCAGTCCACCTTCAGCCTTCAGCCAGCCCCGACTGCAGGCCAGTATGTATGCGTCATGCACTCAGGGAGGGCTCTAGATTTGAACCAAGAACCTTCCCATGTGGGATACCTTCACAGAGCATTGTGTCTTATCGCTGTGCCACAGTCTGGTCCCCAAAACATTTTTTAGAGTTTATTTATATTTTTAAAAAATTTTAAAATAAGTATTTATTTAACTTTATTTATTCATTCATTTATTTTATTTATTTTTTTTTTTGGAGAGGTTTTCACTATAGGGCGCATGCGCTTGCCAGACAGACAGAGACAGAGAGACAGAAAGCGAGAAATCACCCCCCAGAGGGGATGGTCACGCCGCCATCCCTTCTCCTCCATTCTCCTCTCGGGACCTTGGGCACGCACGCACACGCGCCCGGCGTGAGATTTAAGCCACCGGGTCTGAGACACGAACCGCGGTCGACTACGTGGGAGTCCAGCGACATAGCCATTACACTAACTGCTGGTTCCCTTCATTCATTTATTTTGAATTTAACCGGAAGAGACAGAAAGAGAGAGAAAGCAAGTCACCAGGTCCTGGATTCAAACTGTAGTAGTCAGCCATGTGGGAGTGTCCAGAGCCTTAACCACCACGTCCCCAGTTTATTTATATTTTTAATAAACAAAAGAGACACAGAGAGGAAGAGAGAGAAAGAGAATCCTCAAAAAGCCCTGATGCCAGGATCGACCCCCAACCTCTGCCGGCCTGGGCCAGGAGCACTAAGAGAGGTCTCTGGGCTTGAACCTAGAACCCACCTTCCCATAGCTCAGCCTCTTGGAGTGTTGCGTGTTACCATTGTCTAGCCCTAAGGCTTTAAAAGTGTAATCGAATATAACTTCACTAACTAAATGCATTTAAGTGTCTCGAGTTACCTAAACATTGGGCAGTGCGTTGGACGGGGCGCTCTGATGACAGTGCGAGGTGATAGGGAGGTCTGACAGGAACCGTGGGCAGGCAGGACTGAGGGTTTGGAATGTCTGCAGCTCTCGTGACCATAAGGTATCTGTGATTCCTCCTGATGCGGAAGGCGCAAGAACAGCGTTCTTTAATAGAAAACACGCACTATGACAAAACTGTACCTGAATTTAAAAATGTTTTACACCCAAGTAAATGCATATATTTAAAACTTGTTTTGCTCTTGGGCATGTGTGCTCTCCAGAGAGAGACAGAGAAAGTAAGAAGGCACCACTCAGGGGGCTGGCCATGCTGCAGTCCCGTCTCGGCCACTCTCCTTTCGAGATTTTGGGCACACATGCACACCTATCTGGCATGCTTCTCAAGCCGCCTGCTCTGAGACTTGAACCTTGCAGTTGGCCATGTGGGAGTCAGCTACTTTTTTTTTTTTTTTTTTGGAGAGATTTTTGCTATAGGTCGCGTGCGCTCGCCAGACAGACAGAGAGAGACATAGAGACAGAAAGCGAGAAATCACCCCCCAGGGGGGATGG